CCCCCCCCCCCCCGTGGCACAGCGGTATGTATGTAGACTTACAACGCTAGAAACCGGGTTTCGATACCAGTGGTGGGCAGAGCACGGATAGTTTTGTGCTTAACTACAAACAAACAAACCATTCAGTGGTTAACCAAAGTATATATCACGATATTTGTATTCTCCTCTTCTCTCTCTTGAAACTATAATGAAAATGAAGAATTATATAACAAAACAGGTACATGTCTATAAAGGCCCGGCATGGCCAGGTGGTTAGGGCACTCGACTCGCAATCTGAGGGTCGCGGGTTCGAATCCTCGTCCCACCAAACATGCTCGCCCTTTCAGCCGTGGGTGCGTTATAGTGTAACGGTCAAGTCTACTATTCGTTGGTAAAAGAGTAGCCCAAGAATTGGCGGTGGGTGGTGATGACTAGCTGCCTTCCCTCTAGTCTTACACTGCTAAATTAGGGACGGCTAGCGCAGATAGCCCTCGTGTATCTTTGCGCGAAATTCAAAACAAACAAACATGTCTATAAACAGGCGGGTTTTGGTAAGAAATATTCTTTCAGTGAGTGAATACCAATCTTAAATAAAGTTGTTGTTTTTTTCACATCTTTCAATTAGTAATTATCTTCAATCAATAAATTACGAAATTATTAACTTTTATCACAGAAAAAAAAACAACAAAAAACATACCAAACTTAATGAAAACTGCCGAAAGATGTTATCCATGTTTGCTGATTTACACGACACGTTTCTTTGTTATCTGTCTGCGAGCGGGATTCGACCAAGTCTTGCAAACTCACTTTTACCTGCAGCTGTTTACAAAAATGTTTTAGGCTTAAGAATTACCGTGGCCTATTGGCCTCATTTTGGGTGCAAGTTTCATCTAACTGCCATCGGCAAATCTATCGGCATTGATCCCATTTTTTTCAGGTGATTTGATTGGCTTAGCTGGCAATATATTACAACATTTCCAATCTTTTTTCGATTGATATAACTTGGTAAGGAAATGTTGCCTCCTTAAAATATGGTACAAATCAGCCCACAGTAAAACCTAGTGGTCGATAATTTATTCATTAATAAATCATTAAGGTTAAGTAACTTTAATTTGGCACCAGAATCAAATCAAAAAGATAGACAAGCCATGAAGAAAAACGTCCATCCAACTCGTTTGTAAACAATCGTAAGTTTGATGTTTTGGTGCCTTGTTAACCTGGTGCCAAAAAACCAAACCAAAACTCATTATTAGCTCCGGTTATCCACGATAATTATTAGAGCTTTCGTTGATTGGTCGAATATAAATTATTTCTCTGTTAATTAAAACATGAATAGTATTAAAGAGGGAGTTAAACCCCCATCCTTAGGTTTCCAAGATTCCCCTTACATAAAGCATCGTTGAAACTCTGAAGTTGAATCCTTGATATAAGGGTGTGTCTTCATGAAACCACGCAAGTCACGTTAAAATCGTAACTGAAAGCATACTGCCCAAGTGATGAATTGATAGTTAAAACACCCTTTCCTTGGATGAAATGAAAATTGATTGTGACTACAAACTTGCTGTAAAGACTTTCTGTCAGTCACAAGGTATTAATAATTAGCTTAACCTCCAGGGTCATTGATGAGGAGTGAAATTCTCCTCCGAAACTAGTCTGGCTCACAGACACACACACCCCAATGAAAGAATAGACCATTCCAAGCTTTTACTTGTTGTTAAACAAATGTTTAAACAACTCTACTTATTCAATTATGTACCAGCTGCCCAGTGTCAGATAACAATACGAAGAATTAAATTGTGGCGAAATGTTACAAGTTCTTCAAATATCTATAGAATGATAGGTTTCATTTTGTGAGTGTAAAACACTTAAATACACCATTTCGACATTAACAATCTGCTTACAACACATTAACAATCTGCTTACAACACATTATCAATCTGCTTACAACACATTAACAAACTATTCACAACACTTCCTATTAGCAAGCTTTGTGATAAATCATTTATAAACATTTAGCCTAAACATAAATAGGATTTAAGACATTACTAAAAATGACATTTAATAAGTTATTGAAAAATACGCTAATAGAGGGCAGCACAATAGAAAGACTTATCCGTAATCTGAAAAACACATTCCTTCCTGCGTATACCAGAAAGAAAACTAGGTCTTGTTTCGTCCTAAACGTAATACATCTGTTTTTAACACGAGTTTTCATAACAATTTAAAAGGGGTCATTTGTTATTGTCGTAACTAACAATAGCAGCCCGGAGCAACAGACTTGAAAAAAGCCTTCTTATTCGTGAGCGTTACTGACCCGTGACTAGAAGTATTGGCCTAGGTTTAAGTAGTTTGGTCCAGAGTATGAGATTTAGCCATAGGAAAGGTTGTTGCACTGATGTTTTTACTGGAGAAAGGCATTTCACTGGTAGCTGATTTAGTCTATACTAGACTAAAACTTTTCACCTGCGACTCAACCACTCTCTTATTTAAAATTCCACCCATCTATCAAACAACAATATTACTGGCTGCCCCTTTAACAAACACGTTACACAACAATACCAATGGCTGCCCCTCTAACAAACACGTTACACAACAGTACCAATGGCTGCCCCTCTAACAAACACGTTACACAACAGTACCAATGGCTGCTCCTCTAACAAACACGTTACACAACAATACCAATGGCTGCCCCTCTAACAAACACGTTACACAACAGTACCAATGGCTGCTCCTCTAACAAACACGTTACACAACAATACCAATGGCTGCCCCTCTAACAAACACGTTACTCAACAATACCAATGGCTGCCCCTCTAACAAACAACAATATCAATGGCTTTGTTGCGAAACGTGTTACGGTTTAAACGCTGAAAAATAGCGAAGCATTAGAAACCAATAGGCATTCAGTTTCTGATAGCAAACACGTTAAATGTGTGTTCTTTTCGTTGTTGTTATTTTTTATATTCCTCTTAACTTGTCTATCGTGGGTTAAGATAATAAAAATGGCATTCCAGATCTATCTCCTACAACCTACAAGACACTACCAAACACGTTAAATGTGTGTGCTTTTCGTTGTTGTTATTTTTCATATTCCTCTTAACTTCTCTATCGTGGGTTAAAATAATAAAAATGGCATTCCAGATCTATCTCCTACAACCTACAAGACACTACCTAACACGTTAAATGTGTGTGCTTTTCGTTGTTGTTATTTTTCATATTCCTCTTAACTTGTCTATCGTGGGTTAAAATAATAAAAATGTCATTCCAGGTCTATCTCCTACAACCTACAAGACACTACCTAACACGTTAAATGTTTGTTTGTAGTTAAGCACAAAGCTAAACGGGATATTTGTGTTGAGTACAACACGGGAATCGAAATCCGGTTTCTAGCGTTATAAGTCTGCAGACTTACCGCTGTGCCATTTGGGTGCAGAACAATGCTTTAAAAGTTACGATTTGTACTTTTAGTTGGTTATACATCCAAATTCGTGTTTTAAGCAAGTGTATTCGTCACAGTTTGATACAGTCTAACAATGTAATGTCCAATC